AATAATAATAATAATAATAATAATAATAATAATAATAACAATAATAATAATAACAATAATAATAATAATATCAACTAAAATTGATAGATTCAACCATAAAATTTCCTTGCAAGCTTGTAGAGGTCAGTGTGAGACCACTGAAAAAGAAGGTAAAATTGTTTGTTTGGCCGAAAACGACCCAAAAATATTGATCATTTTCCCTCCTTCCGTTTACTGCAAATGTTTTATTCCCACAGTTTTCTTACAGCTTTTCTTGAGGCACCAGTAACAAGAGTGAGAACTAGTTCTCTAAAAATCACGCAGCGCTCCACATTTTACATTCGTCGCTACCTAATACTTTCTAATACAATGTAAAAGCCTATAATCTGTAAAGCTGAAAATATGTGAGCGGATAAAATGCGAACGGAACGCTGCTGTAATCCATATGCTGTTTACTGAGTACTTGCCAGACCGGTTGCTCGTGAGCGCTAGACAATAATTAGCGAGTACAGGTGACATTCATCGACATTGCACATTTCGCTGTTTGCCTCTTTGATCTCATCTTCATCTATCACTCACTGATCAGAGTGCTGTTCTGCCGCTATTTACCAAAAACCTGGATTCTATTATTTGGTGAGAAGTGATGTTTTGATCGTCTATGCTGTTGATGCTTAGTTTATCAGTGATAGATTAGGTGTCAATCTAGACATCATTGCGATCTTATGTCACTATTCGATTCCTTCCTATTCGTCATGGAATGCAAACACTGAGACAACGAATCATATGTGATATTCATTCTGTGCTCTCTTGAAGGCTGCCATTAGTAAGCGACGTCCTGTGGCTGGCAATCTATAAAGTTTGTCGTTTGAGCTGGCAGCAGTCCACCTATTGACGTTTTCTCTGTGATCGCGTCGTTTATTCATTCACTGCAAAGTCCAGAAAAATAAACAGCGTTATCAGTAGCGTAATCGCAAGTAGCAGCAACCGCTGAAATTCAACCTGGGTTTTCTTTGAATGGTGGCGCTCCTTCTCTCCATTTGTAGTTTATCAATTTTATTCTTCTGTGATTATAATATTCTTGATCCTAAGATCTACCCAAAGTGGTCCAGATCTATCTGTTCCGAAGCTTCGGGTGGCGGGACTATCGATCAGATATGAGCGCGGGTGGCGCGCTTTCTCTACTAGCGGGCATTGGCACCTCGGATAACGTTCCGCCCTTCACTTTAGGTGAGCGGGTCCACCCCACCGCTTGAATCCGCTCCTTACGTAGCCATCTACACCTTCCTAGCTATTATTCATCAGGTCCTCCTCCGCTCGCAAGTGCTTTGTCTTTGCTGTGAATCTTACGCTTGTTCTGCAAGCTACTGGCCCAATCTTTCATGTTCGTAACCTTTACTCCGCAATCATAACTGATGTGACCTTGTCTACCCATCTTTTTCTCTGAGGACATCTGAACGCGCATCTTCTTATAACTGCTGCTGTGCGCACATATCGTTGACAGCCTTATTTTATAAAGGGGATTTTCTGCACCTATGCGAGCGAAAATCTGACAAAAGGATTTGCTGATGAGCCGAGCGCGCCTGTTGTCTTGTGCTGCTGTTGGTGTCCTGTGTAGTGTTAGTCCGCCCCCTACGTGCCATACAATTTCAACTAATCTCTCAGTCGATCTCTTTGTTTTCATCTCGGTTTCTTCTCGTATATCTGTGTAATTTCACCTTTCGATTTGAAAGATTTGTAAATTTTCCAGTCATTATGTCTGAGGCCTGGGTCACACTCGCCACCACTGATGGCTACGCCCAAGGAGCTCTGGTTTTAGCCCATTCTATAAAAGCCACTGGAAGTACCAAAAAGTTGCATTGTATGGTGACAAATTATGTAAGTGCTGGCTCTAACATAGTTGTTTTCGATTGACTAAATTTTAATCTTTTGTATTTCCTTACAGCTTTTCGCTCAATGGTTTTTCCGAATAGGTTATTTATCCAAATAGTTGTTTATCGACTCCATGAAAGACCATTTCTGCTAGAACCATGTTAACAGTGTTAGAGTTACGATATCACTAGATATCTTTAGGTTTCTCCTCCACTACGTAGTGAACTGGAAGCGCAGTTCGATGAGGTAACGCTTGTGGATGTACTGAATAGTAACGATCAGGTACACCAACATTTTTCTTATTTGCTGATTCTTTCTTTTTTTACGCTTTTTTAATGCTCAACAGCAAAGTGCAATTGTTGAAAAGCGAATAGTAGCACGTAGAATGTTGCGAATTCTTAACGAGTGCTCTTTTTTTTGCGAACCGTACATTTCGTGGCTTGCAGGAAAATCTGGCATTGATCAATCGACCCGATCTTGGTGTAACATTCACAAAACTCCATTGTTGGAGGCTTACACAGTACACTAAGTGTGTATTCCTGGATGCAGATACTTTGGTACGTTGATGCGTTTCGCGTGGTAAATTTAAAACTCAGAAATCACAGGCGATAATAGTTCTACCGACGAGAATGTCTTTTCGTACTTTCTTATGATTCTTTTTTCTTATCGCCGTCGAGTGTTTTTATGTGACGTCCTGCTGGGGCTGCACTTTTGCTCGAGACAAGAATGATTGAGGTCCGACTATCTGAACAGAAATGTTCTGGAAGCTGAACGTTATTGTGTTTATAGGAGCTGTACGCAATTATGGATTTACGGGAAGTATACTGAAATTTTAGCATAACTCAGGGTATAGCTCTCCTACAACTCAATGGTATCCTTTTAATTAGACTAGCCCTAAGATTGTAAAAATCAAGTGAGGTCCAGCATCTCAGTTGTTAGTCCAAAAACTTCGAGAAGAGCTCGTGCGCACACTGGTTTGCAATTGTTATTGCGCTTAATTCTTCGAGAATCTCGCTTTTGTTTTTAAATGGACAATGTAGACCACATGTTTTCCAGTTGTCAAGAACCTAGCTGCTAATCTGGATTTGAATCATCCTTTACGTTGTGCAGTTGAATTCATCTATAGATACATAGCTTTCACTAATAATTTATTAACCAAATTTTTTTGATTAGCTTAAGCTTGCCGAAAATCTTGTTTTGATAAATTTTCATGAACAAATTTGCGGATTAGTCATTGAGCAGTCGCGCGTATCCAGATATCAGTCTGCGCAATGAGCGAAGATCATTTCGACAAGAATCGCTCCGATTCGCAAAAGCCGGTAGTAAGAAAGGCAAATATATTAAGAAAAAAACCTCTGGGACATTCAAATATTTCAATTTTCGAGAAGATAGATTTGATGAATGCACTACAAGTTTGAATAACTGGTTTATCATCTTTACTATGTTCATTTTTGTTTTCTCATTATGAGCTTCAAAATGCTTTTTAATAAGTTGCAGTCGCTGTCAAAAATCCAAGCATAAAACCGCTATTGCCAACCTAAACTATTCTGTCATCCTCCTTTCATCTTCAGCGACTTTCACTATACTTTGCTCATGCAGTGCGAAGGATATGAAGTTTCTCTGACATGTTTGTTTATCGATGGCAAGTAAACTCTATATCCGACATAAATAGGTGCATACTGTGCACCGTGAATACTCGAAGCTTTTTCTGACTAGTGATTTACATCTGTTTTGCTCGACAGCTGGCATTTTATATCCCTTGCTGTGCTAGAGTCTATAGATTTTTCATGATAGTGTAAAGTTCATCTTTCTGTTGACATACTGTAGCAATTTATAGGTTCTTCAAAATTCGGATGAGTTGTTTGAACGACCGGAGTTCTCCGCCGCTGCTGACATTGGCTGGCCAGACTGCTTCAACAGTGGCGTTTTCGTCTATGTGCCTAGTATCGAGACATACCGTAAGCCGTTAATTAAATGGCTTTTTCTAATTCATTGCGTTTTGCGACATAGATATGACGCAGAAATGTAAAACAAACTTACATATTTACAAATTAGTATACCATGTACTACAGTGTAGTCATGAGATCGCATAACTTCTGATGAAGAAAGATGGTTTAGGTCGTCTGCTGGCATTTGCAATATCACATGGCTCCTTCGATGGGGGTGACCAAGGCCTTCTAAATGAGTTCTTTGCCGGCTGGCGTGACTTGCCACCTATTCATCGACTTCCGTTTATCTATAACATGACCGCGGGTGTTTTTTACTCGTATGCAGCTGCTTACAGAAGGTATGTCAATCTAAAAAGTGCGAAAACACAGGTATTAAACATTGGTTTGCAACAATTTACTTTTTCCGCACTAGTATTCAACCCATACAATAGATTATACAATTATAGGTTTGGAGCATCCACGAAAATTGTTCACTTCATCGGATCTGAGAAACCATGGCACAGTTCAGCAGCTATTCATCAGAGTGAACATATTGCTAGATGGAGACAGATCCATCAAGCCAATGTCGCTGTTCATGTAAGCTGTCACATTAATGTCCACATATTCTCAGCGAGCACGATCTCTCCTGTCATTTAGCTTTTCCTGTTAGCAAGTACTTGCATTTGATGCAGTCCGCTACTGAAATCGGGTGGATGACGATCTGTTTCTAGCTCTTGTTTTTTTTTCAAATTGGATCATTC